GGGAAAATGCGAGGTGCGCTATCGCGCTCCCAGGAGGAGCTGAGGAGAGGTACCCACAGATATATAATCAGTGTCCAGCTTGACGTTGGCGCCCATCTCCTGGACCACCTCCGCATGGAACCAGCAGAACTGCAAGAGGCGAGAACAGAAACTCCGGATCAGCGCCGGGACGGGGCCGGACCTCGCGGTAACGCCGCCGGCCGGTACAGAGGGTCACGGCGCAGCCCGAAGTCCGTACAACTACGGGACTCTGATTCGTCACTGTGATGTGTCAGTCAAATACAGCGCTCGTCTGTTTTGTACACGCTGTGTGTCCACAGCTGGGGGTACTGGGGCACACTGCGTAACCTGCTCGGGGGTCTCTCCCCTGCCCCACAGCTCTCTGGGGGACCAGGGCGCCCCCCAGCACTGCTCCGCTGTACTGCCGACGCCACAGCGGCTACACCTGCCCGTCGGACCCCCCAATCCCACAATCCCGCGGGCACTCACCACTCCTTCCAGTTCGGAGGTCAGGCGCCTCTGGCACTCCGAGATCTGAATGATGACGTCCCCTGGAACGAGACAAGCGCCACCCCTCCCGTCAGGCCGCGCGGGGAGCCCCCCCCCCCAACAGGGAGCAAGGCCCGCTCCCCAGGCGCCAAGCCTGTGCCCTGCTGTGTTAGTGCCTGCTCCGTTTTGTGCGTGGTGTTGGGCCCCCAGCCACCGCCGCTTCTGCGCCCTATGATCCCGGAGCAGCCGGGAACGCGAGACCCCCCCCCCCAAAAAAAAGACTTGGGGAGGCCTGGGGGAGCAGACGATGGCCAAGACGCCCCGCGACAAGGGGACGACGAGAGGAACAGTTTGCAGATCGGGGGGGATACAGGGATCAGCAGAGGGCTGGGCTACCTGATCGCTCTGCCTGAGCACAGCACACACACACAGAGCACAGCACACACACAGAGCACAGCACACACACAGAGTACAGCACACACACAGCACAGTATGCACACACACAGAGTACAGCATACAGAGTACAGCACACACACAGCACAGTATGCACACACACAGA